TTTTTTTTTGCTTTTTAACTTTTGCTTTCTTAACTTTTAAAAGGCGAAAAATTCCTTATGCAAAAGAGGCCCTGAGTTCTCTTGCTTCCTCCTATAGTTAACACTAAGCACAGACCCCAAGTCACTGTGACTTGGAATCTGGTAGCAACTACCTTGGCTTTAATTATTTTTTAAAAATTCTTTAAAATTCTTTCCTTTTCCTGAGGAGACTGGTGAGGCCCCGCCTCCCCTGCCTTTAGTGACTGCACGTCCCTGGTACAGTTTAACCATAGCTATGCATGAGGCTATCCTATTTTCACCATTGATATATTAATACATAGCAATATTTTAAATACATTTTCAGCACATCTAGCTTACCTAAGATCCGGTAAAGGTGATGGATTTATGAAGAGATTTCTAAATCTGTATTTTTTGAATCTGGAAAAGTCTGTGGTTGTACTTTCTTTGTGTGGAGTTTCTATTATTATGCAAGGAGATACACCGCCTGATATTGTGGATGGCCAACAACTCTAAAAATAAGATAATAATACAGTTCTAAGATACTTTTTTTTGCAAACAGTGATGTCTTCATCCCACACATTTTTAATAGGGATTTATGTCATTCATATTATGTTATCAGCCCATTCTCATTTTAACTGTAATTATATACTGGAAACTAAAATACAATGTTTTCTTACTGAAAAATGGTCATAAACAAATTATAACATTAAAAGCATGCCATTCATTTCCTTCTTACGTGTTTATTAAAACTAGATTCTGTCAATACAGGAGTGAATAAAATCTTCCCTTATATTGAATCCACATATATTTTCTAAATTCTGAAGAACAGAATCCCATTATATTTCAAAGCAATATTATACAGATCAACCATACCTTAATTTCATATTGATATCCCACATTTTCTTCATCTATCTTGGAATCCTTTAGAAAACAAGCAAAAAGCATTAATACCTAAGCAGCAATGAACTAATATCTAGTTCCTCAGATTCATTAAGAGCTTCTCAAACAGTTGGGACCCAGGGACAAAAACAATGAGACTTTAAATGCATGACTTGTTATTCAAAATATTTATCAGATCCTGATATTGATGCAACTTCATTTCATGATTATGAAACAGCTGTACATACACTTTCCTTAATAACGTAAAGTACATTTTATGTTATTAAATAACATAAAATAACATAATGTAAGTTTTTTACAATCAAGCAAGGTCAATCTCATATGGTTAACAAATAAAGGGATTCTGTTGTATGTTGTCAAATATTTTCACCGGATGTACGAATACGGCTACTGCCGTATACTTGAGGTTTTCCTGACAAGTGTTACCCTAAAGTAAAATTGGGTCAGTGGAAAAGGCAGATTCAGGCCATAGTTAAAATGTTAGAAGACATGCACTCAGGGTCCCACTCAATCAGATTTCATGTGTGTTTGGAATAATCAATCTTCTCAAACTACCCTGAAGGATTTTTGTGGTGAAGCTGAGAACAGGTCTCCATCTAAGCCAACATGATTTCTCAGGGGAAAAAAATAGGTATAAATGCATTAATGAACTGGACCCTTAGTATTTGTAGATCTATGATGGGTGTTGGTAACCCGTGGTTCCAGAGCAGCATGTGGCTTTCATCCCCCTGTTGTAGCTCCCTGTCAGCTGAACCCACCACTGGCTAGACCTGCCCCTTGTCCCCCCCCTCCCAGTCACTCTTCGCCTGAGAAGGTAAGGGTGACGGCAGTGGATGGAGACTCACTGCATATTCCAGAATAGCAGTAGCAATAGCAGTTAGACTTATATACCGCTTCATAGGGCTTTCAGCCCTCTCTAAGCGGTTTACAGAGT